GCCCCCCGCGGCCCCCGGCTGAAAGACGCTTGCTCGCAGCCGTGATGTTGCTCGCCGCCCTCCCGTGATTCCGGCTGTTTTCTGGAACAAAACGGCCGGCTGCGCCGAGGCCGCCGGAGCGAGAATCGCCCCAAGCAGAGTCGCCATGGCGCCGAACCCAGAACCCGCCGCGGAGGAGCCGCGCTTTCCCTTCTTCATGCTCTTCCTCGATGGCTCGTCTTATCTGCGCCTCGCTTTCGATGTCAGCATCCTCATTTTCATCGCACTCTTCCAGGTAATGGCGCCGCCCGGAGCGGCAGGTGGGGATTGAACCGAGACCGAGACTGCCTTTAGGCTACGAGACGACATAATATGTTTCGTCTAACAAGAAAATATTCACGTTTGGCAAGAATGTCACTAGATCGAATTGGGTTCACCTCGTTTCTTGCTCTTAAATTTAGTAACAACACCCAAGCTATTTTTCCGTGGCAAGAAATCTGATTTCGAATTTTTCCCTTAAAACGTTATTTGGTAACTACAAATTTGTTATAGTCCGCATAGCGATAATTCTCGAACAATTGACAATATTACAACCAGTAATATCAATTCTCACTTTCCTTTCCTATAACGACCATTCAAATTTGAGAACTTGGCCCCACTGGTGGCTAGCGCAATCACATGATAATTCGGTTCAATCATGGAATTCAATTGAATTTCTCCATATATTACCGTTGCATACTTCATTCTACTGTTCTTCATTCCCGTCCATTAATCCAGGTCAAACAAATTATTTGTAGCCTCGAATAATCGATTATTCATTTAAAAGCAAGATACCATAGAATAACTTCATTATGGAACAATATCTAGATATTATTCAATGATTGGTCTGAACACAGAATACCTGTGATCGGCCCAAATCAATACCATAATAATAGAGCGTGGACCTATATTATCTTTGTCATCAGTGACGTCAGCGGTTTTGTAGTTTAGTATTAAATGAGATCTAAGTCCAGAGGCGAATATATAAAATAAATATATCAATCTCCTTTTTTGTTGACTAATTTTATTATCATTATTAATTATAATTATAATATAACAATGTGTCAATTATTTTTCGATAAGTCAACTACTACGAATCATACGGATAACGCATGTCGCAGCATAATAGTTATCGAAATTAAGAGGAATACTTATTCAGCTATTTCATTTTGTAAAACTGGCAATTTTAAAACCCCCAAAAGCTCATCTTTGAGTATCCTCAAATATTGTTATTCTCGTTGAAAACTTGATTTGAAAGAATGATCTAACACATAACAATTAGTGAGCAATCTTTAGTTTGAAAATAAGCTTATCAAATAACTCAACTCGTTAATTTCCTTGAAATAGTGTAGTTCTTTCTTCTCTTCCCCAAGAGTCAACGGAGATCTGCAATCAAATCCTTTCCTCCAGAAATGCCGGCACGTTTCTTCAGTGAGAATTGTTATTGGTGAGGAAGACACGTCTACCACCACAAAGCTTTAAGAGCAGCTTTCCTAGAGGCTCTCTGGGAAGTAGCCAGATGGCATAGCCGCCATAGCTTGTGACACCCCGTGCGATCTCATTGGGGCGCCCTTGCAAAAATATAAATGTCGGTAAACCAGCCGGGAGCTCAGAGCTCGTCTCGGCTGGGGGAGATGCCTAGAGGAGGAAACCCCCGCAAACCTATGTGTAGATAGGCGCCGAATCTCCCATTATAGAGAGGAAGAAATACCGCCACATACAGGCTTAAAAACATTCACTACATTAACGGGATTAATGACCGAAGTAGTTGACGCGCCCGGAAACTCGAACTGCTCATAACTTGTTCACCCGATGGATTGAAGGTGGGGAGTCACTGACATCCGATCATCTGCAGCAGTATTTGACCAGAATGTCGGTTCGGCCTAGGGGACAGGACACCATTTCTAAATGCCGCTTCCTGGGAATGGCGAATGTGGAAAGGCCTGATTTGCCAGCGGCGAAGGAGTCGGCTTCCCAAGCCTTTGCTCCCGCACTGGTGAGCCGCCCGGGGACGTTCGCCGCCCCCGCTCCCCACCTAGCGCCGCCTCGGGGTGGCTCTGCATCGATCGGTGGCCTCCCCGAGC